CTTTGAGTATCCTGATAAGATATAAGTACAGTCCATTTATATTTTTCTGCATTGATTATGTCTTTTTCAGATGTGTACGCTGCACATGCCATAGGCACTGATGTACCCTCATACCATTAGATGGGCAGGCTTATGAAGACACAGACACCAGGCAGGGGTGGAAATTTCACCTCATTATTGGAGGGATCAGTAAAAATTTATTTTTTTTAAAGAAACTTTTTTGGGAGGTGGGGTTTCCTTTAAGATACAGTCAAATGTACTGTTGTAAAACAAAATTAAACATTCAGTACTGTTTGTAAGTACACAAGTTGCAGAAAACCAAACTAACAGGAGCACTCACTTAATGTCATTCGTCACCCGTCCCAGTGCAAAAAGGGCTTGATTCACTTCCTGGTCGTGAGGTCTAGTGACTCACAACAAAATCTTATTCTTTTTTTTATTTTTTACTAAAATAATAAACCAACAGGTCGCTAAACAGCTGGCATGCATCCATATGCAATATTAAAGTTCAAAATGAAAAGTTATTCATGGTCACAAGGAGACGTGCAGCTCTAATGTCGCCATGGAAACGTGTAAATAAAACTCTGCCATAGTTAAAGATTTTTAATGTGCTCACGTTGCAGGTGAATAATGGTGAAAAACTGTCATTGTTCATGAAATATGGGTGTAGTTTTCTTCAGTCTAAAGACTGTTTAAGATCAGGCTGAAGATAGATTTAGTTTGGGGTTTTTTGCCGTTGTCGTCATTTTTATACTTTATATTTTTGCTATTTTTGGGTGTAACTGGGACATTGTGTACACAATTTTGTTCCACTTCATGTACCACATGTGATACGATTGACAAAGTCAACTTGAACTTTTGAATAATTGTCACTAATCTTTAAGGTTTTTATAAGATTTTAAAGCTCTGAATAAATGCAACATGTCAGGGGCGGTCCTAGCCTGTTTGGTGCCTTGAGTGAACAACCCGTCCGGCAGGCGGGAAGAGGTAGAGGCAAATATTCTCAGGATCAGACAACGTTTGGAGACACATTTGTGGCTGAGGAGGTGAATAGTTCCTCTTCCTGAGGCTCCAGAACCGTTGCTGAAGTGACCTGTGTGGCTGAAGAAGTGGATGGCTCCTCATCCTGGCCTGTGGCAGATGGTGCGCCAAAATATTTCAGAAGTTCCCTTGAATTTGCATTAAAATACCATACATTAAAACTCTGATACATCAAACATCAGTTGTATCATTATCAAACATCCATAATTCTATGCATCACAATGGTTATTTAATAGGCTATCAAACCATTGTTGAGATGGCCTAATGCAATACTGAGTAATTACAGCAGGATAACACAACTTTCCCAAGTAATGTGAAGTGATTTAGGGACCGTCACACTGACAAAGCAAACAGCAACTAAGCCAAAAACAAACAGGCCTACATATATGTCTGATTTGTGAAATATTCAGAATAGGGGACAAATCAACACCTTTTCCAGTTAATTGCTATTTAACACGGTCCAAGCTACATCACAAGATCATTGCCTTTAGTATTTATAGCAGCTGAATATGACTTTCCAATATAACAGTTTAGTTTTAGAAGAATTTCAGTCTTCAAAACTAATATTTTCTGCTGAAAACCAAACATGCCATCCAGCAGCTAAACTAATTAACAGTAAGCCTGTCTCTGAACAGGCTTTACCTTTCAAGCTCCAAGAGATGACACAGCTGCATACCTTTATCTTTTGCTCGTTTCTCCTCTTCTACTTTTCTCTTTTTCCTAAACGGGACGCCTGATGGATTTGACCTGTTCCTGTCCAGCTTCCATGTGTGTAATCGGCACTCAAGCAGAGTAAGTTATCACCACCCATCCCTAAACATGAGTCATAAAAAACTTGGGCCTAAACTAATTTTCCTTTCTTGGTGTGCAGATTAATTTTTGTATTAGTTTTCCAGCGATTTCACACAAATAAGCTGTGAACTATTGGCTATACAGAACTCACAATATTACGAATGAAATGTGCTTTGTTTGGGAGCAATCAATGGTGTGATTTTCTTAGCAAACTAATTGTATTAGGTGCACTATTTAATGCATCCCTGGCCCAGCAAGGGAGATATGAGAAACCTCCTCCCCTTTTTTTATTACCTGTGTGTCAGACCTCAGCAGAAGCTGCACGCCCTGCACCTGACGAAGGGCGCCCACTCTCTGCAAGTAGGCAATAGGAAAATGATGTGTAGGCTAGACAGGCTATGTGAAATAATGTGGGTTTTTTTTTTTTTTTGAAGGGGAGTGTGAGGGTGTGTGCTCCTGCTGCCCTTGACAAGATGCCGCCCTGGGCAGCTGCCTATACAGCCAATATAAAAACCACCACTACAACATGTTAATAGAAAACATACGCTTAATAAATACTGTGTTTTTCGGACAATAAGACGCACTTAAAATTCTTTAATTTCCTCAAAAATCAACAGTGATCCTAATTCTGGTTGTGCTTACTGATCTCAAACGGATTTTATGTGGCACACGGTGCTCAAAAATCGAAATGTTTTAGTTTTGCTTAATGCGCCTTATAGTCTGAAAAATACGGTAACGCCACTAATATTCTTCAAACACTTTTATTTATTGTGGTTTCCGTCAATATAAATTATGAGCTACAGAATTTATTAAACAAGATCTATAGTTCCTACTGATCCCTTTAAATATTATGGAAGTATTGCTGCTTTCGTCCGCAAAAAGCTAAAATATTTTAGTTTGAGTAGAACAAGAAAATTTCCGAGAGGTCACTGAGGCTTAAAGCCCATTCTCCCACTCATAAGTTTAGATTTCTAATAGTTGTGCTACAGAAAGCCAATGAAACCTGATGCACCCTTTCAAAGTCCAGGTGCACTACCTCTCGTCAGGGCTCAATGGACTGACCCATTGTTAGGCTGATGGCGGGGTTAGATTCTTGAAATGATTCAATTGAAGTACTGCTGATATAACTGGTGGATATTCTTTGTTTTCTTTATAATACTTAAAATTATCCACTTTGAAGTAAGCTGTTTGGGGGAAGAATCAGTTTTGTGTTGTGTGTTTCCTTGACTGATGAAGCCTTCTGGATGGAAGGTGAAATGTTTCAGCAAAAAAGAAACTGTCCAGATGACCTGACTGAAAATTGTTGGATTGTATACCTGGATTATTGAGCATGGACTAGTTTGGACTTAAAGTTATAGTTTCTCATATTATTTATTGTGGGGGTCAATCTTTGTTTTTCCAAAATTGGGTGGAGTCCAGACTCCAGACCCACCCAATTCCCTGGAATTTCCATCCAAGATGACAGGTCGAATGCTCCATCTCCTATTTAGTACAGACGACAGCATACGTGGTTTCCAGTAATAATAGTTGGATCACAGAACAACTTTTTCATTTTGTCTCTGTTGATTTGAACTTTTGTCTTGGTTTCAAAATGACCCAAGAACAGCAGGAGGGTTAAATGAGTCTCGTGAGTAAATGAGAAGACGGAAGCTTTCTGGAGGGTGTTCATATATGGATCCTTCTTTGCATGATAGAGTTTTAAACAGCATCTGTGGCTGACAGTGAACTGTGTTTACAGACCATGATTTGTGGACATGCTCCCCATGCAATGATATCCTGAACAGAATCAGACTGGTTTTATTGCAGTGGCCTCGGAGGGCCCAAAGATCACACCAAGCAACACTGACTTTCAGCCTCATCCTTTCAGCTCAGACATTTCTGATTACATTCAATTCAACCTTTATTTATACAGGTTAGTCTCACTGAGCCTCGAGGACTCATTTACAGGAGAGACCTGTTTTAAACAAAGAGCACAGACGACAACAGTGGACAGTACATCATGAACTTGTTCTTTTCTTCTTGTTCTTCTTCCTTTCAGTAGTTCATCAGTTGTCGCAAGGGTTATGTTCTGAAAGTAGGTACGCTGTATTTATTTTAATATGTATATTTTAAGGCTTTATAAACCCTTCCCACACTATTGCAATGCTCTAAACTCTTTAACCTACATAATTTTAACAACATACATATATGTACTGTACAGTACTGAAATATTTTACTCATCAGCTCTGCAGAGCTCTGTTCTGGTCAGGCTTGTTCCGGTTTGGCACGTGGATAATTGAGCTTCAGGACAACTTTCCTGCCAGTTCTGTGAGTTCATTAGATAGCGAAGATTTGCGTTACAAAACTTTCCCTCCATTTCGACAGAAAGCAGCGGCTGGAAGCACTGTTGGCTTCTGGGTAGTGTAGTTCTTTTGACTGGCATTATATAGGCTTACTGAAAGAACTTTACAAAATGTCAGTGCCTGTCCGAAGTTTATTTTTGTTAACTTTTTATCCCTTACTGTCCCAATCACGTGAGTAATATTAAAGTTGGCAATCGTTGAAAAACCACTAAAGAGCGAGTCCACGAAAGTCAAACCGCGAAGTAGCGAGGGATTACTGTACACCTAATTTGTTACAAAATGCTTCTTAAGCTGTATATTATCCATACCACTTAATGTTACAGACATTCGTCGCTCCTGTCCCTACTTCAAATATGTGTTTATAACTTTCTCAAATCATTGCTTTTATTATTTTTTTTACACAATGGCCCAATTAAATCAAAATTGGGGTTGTAAAATGTTAAAGCTAACAACCAAAAACATTGCACAATAACATAATAAAATATAAGTTGTCGTTTTTTTGCACATGCAAATATATTTGGAATAAGTCATGATGAACTTCGTACAGATAAATAAATCTTTGTCTCACTTTGTTTAAACCAGCAACAATGAAAAAAATGGAATTTGTTATTCATAAGTTACTTATTCATCCTTAGAGATCTAATTACTTTATTCTTCTGAGACAAAATTGCATCAATAAACTTTCACTTCCTCTGTCAGTAAAATGTACGGAGTCTTCCTGCTGGTCCTGTCACTGTAAAGATCATTGGAGGAGGTAAGAAAAGCTCAGAGTTCAGTCGTGTGCTTCATCTGTGCTGATGAACTGTGTCTCACTCTGCCTGCAGCATGAGTCCAGTGGACAAAAACAGCACAGAAGTGTCAGAGTTTTTTATTGTGGGCTTTCCAAGTCTCCAGCACGAGTATTTTCACATAATGGCATGGTTCTTCTTGATCTTTTATGTGACAATACTGGTCGGCAACCTGGTACTGGTTGTAGTTTTTGCTTTGGAGCGCAACCTTCAGAAGCCAATGTATATCACCATGGTCAGCCTGGCTCTCTCAGACATTGGTAAATGTTGTTTTACCATATATATATATTTTTTTTCTCACTTTTAAAGGTCATTGTGTCTTTTGCTCTAAGATGTTTATTAATTCTTGCTTCAGGTTTTACCACAGTTGCTTTACCGAAACTCATTGCTCGCTACTGGTGGAATGATGGGAGCATTGGCTTTCACACATGCCAGTTTCAACGGCACATGATCCACTACTTTGGCAGTTTAAACTCTATGATCATGCTGACCATGGCTGTTGACCGATACCTGGCCATCTGTTTTCCTCTCAGGTGGATGAGCAGCGCTTGGAATTCATTTACATCTTACCTCGGGAGCATGGAAGAAATCAAACAACTTTGTCTTTTTCCCCTCACACTTCTCTCCTCAGATATCCCACGCTGATGACCATCCAAACCATGACGGTTCTGACAGTCTTCTGCTGGGTCACGGCACACATCTTTCCTGGCATTGGCAGCATTAACCTCGCCCGAACGTCATTTTGTGGCCCCAATCAAATCCTCCAGGCCTTCTGTGACTTTACGTCTTTAGTTAGTCTAGTGTGTGAGCAGCAAAGCTATCTGTACACTGTAACCTACATCACAGCAATGGTGGTTCTTTATGTTCCTTTGTGCTTCATCGTATTCTCCTACATTTGCATTGTTATTACAGTCTTGCACATGGTCAACGGACAGGTGAATGGCATTCCTTTTTTCCTTCGTATTTAATGCAACATTTTTTACCTTGCAGAATGTCAGTTGTAAAAATGTTGATTTTGTTTTCTGCTGTTCTTCACAGGGCAGAAGGAAGACGTTTTCCACCTGCACCACACAGGTATTTATCATTTCCAGCTACTACATACCTCGTTTTGTTGTCTACACGGCACCGTACATTCCTAATTTTCAAACGACCGTTGATGGGCGAATGGCAACAACGTTTTTTTACAGCTTTTTCCCCCCGCTGATAAACCCGTTTGTCTACTGTCTCAGAACCAAAGAGATCCAGGAAATATTCAAGCGCTGGATACAGAAACGTAAATCCAACAAGTCTAACCCTGGACGAAATGTAACTGTCCCTGAATTACACTGATAAAGTTTCTGTTTTTATTTGGATAATAAATGCATAATAATTTATCAAGTTCTAATATTTATGCAGGTGCTTCTAAAAAAGTTAATATTGTGATAATTTTTTTTTTTTTGTCCATTTCATTCATTGCACATGGAGTGAAATGATTCAAGCATTTATTTCTTGTCATTTTGATTATTATGGATTTCAAATGAATATCCAAAATTAAGTTTCTCAGAAAATCAGAATATTGTGAAGAAGTTCAATGTTCGGGCGGCATGGTGGTGCAGTTGGTAAAGCTGCTGCCTCTCTGCGAGAAGATAACCGGATCAAATCCGGGTCGGGGACCTTCTGGGTGGAGTTTGCATGTTCTCTCCGTGCATGCGTGGGTTTTCTTCGGGTACTCCAGTTTCCTCCCACAGACCAAAAACATGCATGTTAGACTGATTGGTAACTCTAAATTGTCTCTAGATGTGAGAGAGTGAATGGTTGTTTGTCTCGTTTGTCTCTCTGTGTCCCTGTGATGGACTGGAAACCTGTCCAGGGCGTCCCTCACCTCTAACACTATGACAATGTCAAAAGCGTCTTACCTGCTGAGAAAAAGAACGACTGTTGCTCAGCGGTCCAACGTCCTCTTTTCAGATTAAAGTAAAATTGGCATGTTGTTTAAAAATCAAGGTCCCAGAGTCTGGAGGACGAGTGGAGAGGTCCAGAATCCACGTTGCTTGAAGTCCAGTGTGAAGTTTCCACAGTCAGTGATGGTTTGGTGCCATGCCCTCTACTGGTGTTGGGTCCACTGGGTTTTCTGAAGTCCACAGTCAATGCAGCTTCCTTCTGCTGACAAGCTTTATGGAGATGCTGGTCTTATTTTCCAGCAGGACTTGGCTCCTGCTCACACTGACAAAAGCTGGCTCTGGAATATTCTTGTTTTCCGAGATGTCGAATTTTAGTTTTTCATAAGACGTAGTCATCAAACTAACAAGAAATAAAGGCTTGAAATATTTCACGCTGTCTGTAATTAATCTGCGTAATAAATTAATTTCATTTTCTAAAACTGATTGACCAAAAAAATTATAGATGCACCTGTAAGCATTTCCAACTCCAGTCCCAGTTCTAAATTAGTTTACAAATGTTTGACCAGGAGATGGCAGCATGCTCAACCTTTACAGCAAAGAAAAGTCATGAAGCATTAAAATCATGACCTGAGGATCATTGCAGGACCCAATTTATCATATTTTATTTGTATAATTCACAAACCAGTCAAATGTACATCTACTAGTTTTATGAATGAGACCAGTACAAGTCCTGTCATGTGTTCGTCTGATTCACATTTCTGTCCAACTGCTCTGAATGTCAAATGTCTCGTGACACAGTAACAGTTGTATTTGTGCAGAATGGTGCTTTTATCTGCAGCCTAACCTTCAGCAGCAAGAGTAGCTGTATTCATGTTGAGTAACTGGGCCCAGTGTGAAAACAGGTAGGAAAAGAAAAGGGAAAAATAAACTGATGACAACATAAGCACAGTTATCATCTGAGAACGAGTTTCTTATTCAGGGCTCCCACTCACTGCACTCATGGCTGATTCTTTTAGCTTAAAACAACCCACAGGGGGATAAAACTTTGTTTGTTCAGCGTGTCATGAACATGAGGCATTATATCAGGATGGCAGATTAAACTGTACTTTGTTTGGCACAGTTCATCCTGATGCACTTTGGCCTTTACTCATTTTTAATGCAGTAAATGTCATGCTTCTTGTTGGAAATTAATCTGTTTTGAATTTATTCCTCCCTGTTTGAATAAGGTGGTTTACTTCCAGAGAAGCTTTTCTAAGCTGCAGCTTATCCCCCTTTTACAGGTTGGACCTGAAAACTGTTCTTGACATGACAAGTTTCTTGCTTGGTCATGCTCTTTTGTGCACAACAGGAGTTACTACGTACAATATCAGATTAGAATCTGCTGTGGACAAAAAACAAAAAACATTCCAACACAAAGGCTGGAATCAGACTGAGGCATGCATAAGTGATTTATTATTTATCTAAGAGACACTATTTAACAAGCTCGAGTCAGGTCCTCTGGACGGATTTTTCGATGTTGAAACATTTTTTCTTTTATCCAGAAGACTTCTTCAGTCTGAGGAGTAGCAACAAATTCAGTTTTATCCACCTTATTCCTAGCCCCCATGCTGCCTTGTGTTAATTATGAGCTCAACTTCCGGCGTGGACCAGAACCGGCGTTTGTTAATGTGTGAACAGTACGAGCTAATGTAGTTTCTCCAAGCACTGTGCATTTAATTTAAACATGTAGGAACACCACCAGTCAGAGCTCAAACAAGACAATATAATCATACTACCTGCTGCAGGCGAGGGATGGATGACCTGAAGAAGTGGCTGCAGATTTAGAGTTGCATTAGGGCCCAAAAAAAATCAGACCGATCCCAGCCGATAGCCATAATTTCCAAACTTGACCTGATGAATTAACAGTAATTACAGGTCCAAACCCGACCCCCCCACAGACATTTTCAATTAAACTTTGACTGCTTATAGAGTTATTAACAGTCGGCGAACACGTGACTGAGTAAAAGGAGGCGTTTGTCCTTTCATGGCCGTCAAAGTGCATTAAATCCCTGCTTCTGCCTGCATTCGGCATTATTCAGACACAGACCCTGCTCTGACATGTCTGCAAGGATATTTTGGGATCTCACCTGTTTAGGTCGTCGGCCGCACGCATCCGCGGAGTGCAGCGGCTGAATGTCCATTTGGCCTTTAATAGTTTGCTGCCTGGCAGTAGTCCCATATGAAGCTTAATTGAACTTTTTTTTTTTACCCCTTTCCAAGGCCGGTCAGCACACGGTCAAATGGCCGCGTGCGGCTGGTGAATGTATGTCAAGTCAAGTTGCCATATAATTGGATCGTCAGCCATGCGCAATCAAAAGCCTGACACCGACCCACATTATGGCCCGGCCCTAATCCAGGTTGGGCTGGGCCGGGTTCGAGTTAGAAATGACAGCTCTATGCAGATTGCATATACTAGCATATATAGCTACTTCATTGATTTGGCTCTTCTGGCAGTGAAGCATTGAACCTGGATGCTCCGAGGCGTATTAGTTTCTACACAGTAATAGTCGGTCATGTTTTATTAAGAGGTGGGACAATTTTATTTACCTTAAAGCAGACATAGAGCCCAGCCAAAGCCCTAAAGTCCTCTATCACTGAGCTTCGGTTAATTGCAGAGAAAATCGTAATACAGAAGACAAACAAGTTCTATAATGATGTGCCATTCATACACTTGAAATCATACCTGATGTTCTTGTCACACTGTAAACTGTAACCATTTATGTGTACTGTTAAACTTTAGCTGGAAGTCATTATTTGTTGTTTTAATCTAGAAACTTGTGCTTTTTTTTTTTTACATAAGATATTTAAATGCTGCTTTGTTCATTTATCTTTTGATAAAATGCTTCAGCTATTTGATGAGTGTGCATCGTCTTTTAACTATTAAAAAAAAAACCTGATGAGTTTGTTAAACATCACATTTTAGTCAACTGAAAATACCTGATGCCTGAATTTTCGCCTGTGGCACTTTTCGTACAATTTATGAGCAGTGAGCCGCGACAGAAGGAAGCGCACTTCAATAACCTTTATTTAGTTTACAGATGTTTTCCATTTTAAAGACTGGAGGAGGAGGAAGAAGAAGAAGAAGAGGGAGCATTAGTTCTATTTACACTTGAGTTTGAAAATGTTTCTGTACAGATTTGAACCCTGATCAATATAAACAATATTCTTTAAGACCTAGTGCTGTTACAAAGCAATACCTTAGAATAAAACAAAAAAACCACAAAATAAAAGTATTAGATTAAATTATAAGCAAATGAAAGAACAGCACAGACGAAAGAATACAAACCCATCAGTTCCTTATTGGGGGTGGGGGTTCTGTTAAACACAAGACATCGTCAGTGAGCGACTGTGAACTGGCTAGAAGCTAACCGCATACACAATCAAGACTAAACACCAATATAATGTATATCACCAGGCTCTAAAATCATTAAGTTCTATATAAGATTCATATTAAACATATTCTACACGCGTTACCTTAGTTTTGGGACATTACTTCCATTGGAAACATACAAAATAAAAACCTTTTTATACATTTGCATTAATCTGATGAAAATATCGCAAGCCTCAGCTGTGCAAAACGGACCGATTAATGCAGAGTTAAAAAGAAAAAAAAAAAGCAAATTAAGACTTGACACAGAGGATTGTTTTCATTCCGAGTGGACTTGAGATCCTTCACCGATAGAAAAGGGAGCAGGACTGGCATGATCATGTTTAACGTAAGAAACAAAAGTGGCCGTTTCCTGTTTTTTAAATATTGTTGTTATAATATCACCCCGCTGGTGGAGCGATAATATGCATAGACTGTAAAAAAAACACAGTCATAAAGATGTGGACAACAAATATCCAAGGCAAGACCACTAATACTGCTCGTTTGTTTATTTGTTAGGCTTCATTTGGCTAAAATGAGATAAAAGACTGAAAGGAGCGGGAAGCGTTCTTCGGTCTACGTACAAAAAGAAATAGTCTTTCTTGCAACCTTTAAGGGCACGTTTAGAGGAGGGCAGTAAAAAGGTGTCTCTTCCGTGTGTTTTCTGGTCAGGCACGCTTCGTCTGCTGCACTGAGGCGTTTCACACAAACACATATGGTTGGGATGTGCAGACACTGTGAGGTTCTGACGAGCTTAGTGGTTAAAACTCTCCGGGACGTGTATGAAACAAGGCCACACGCAAACTTGGCCACTGCGTTGCAATAACACAATTACAAACTCACTGAGGATGGATTTAAAAAAAAAAAAAAAAAAAAAGCTGTGTGTGCTCATGTGTGCATATGGCAGAAGGTTTGAGGAAAACACAAACAGAAAAACACATGCATATCCAGTTCCTTCCTCTTATTTTCAGCATAACATCGAATCAAGTACAACAATCGGCTCTATTGTTAATCAATTTCCTGCTCCCTGATTCCTCGTCTCGGATTAGTCTGAGCCTGTTGTCCTATTTAAGTGTGAATGTGTGCATGAAGGGAAAGTGTTTTTTTTTTTAAAGAACTAAACAAAAATAAACCAGGACAGACGTGTACAGTATTTGTCTGAATGAACAGGCTTCAGGGCAGGGGACGAGCTCCTTGGGTCCATGACGCTGATGACAAACGAACAAGAAGAGCGGCAGGTTGGCAGCAGAGGTGTGTATTTACAGAATGACGCAGCAGTTACTCTCCCCAGTCTTCTCTCTGTTCCTTTGACCTGGACAAACACACAAACATCATCACCGACTAATACTGACCGTATGATCAAAAGGTTTGAGAAAGGTCGTTTGAGGACAGTTGAACAATGTTCTGCTCAAATAAACTAATCCAGTTAGAAAATGCAGCCATCGTTAATTTTCTGAATTGTTGTTTGTATAAAATAACAAATACTAGGGATGTGCGATATTATCGGCATGGTATTGGTATCGGCCGCTATTAGCGATAAAGTTAAATATCGGACATCGGCCATTCCATCAAAATAACTCACCGATATAAAAGGTGCTGTTTTTGTATGACAACCCAGTGACAAGGATGCCTGCAGCACCAGCACAACGTTATGACGTCACGTGCGCCACTGAGTTTAGATTTGTGAAAATTTACAAATTTGCACTGTTCAAGTGTTGTCATTGTGTTAGAGAGAGTAAATGTCATGAATATATTTGACATTAAACATAATCCAAGTTGAAGTGTTGCATCATTTTCAGCCCTCTTTTTGACATCTGCATTTGGTAGCAGGCCAAAGTGACAAAGACCATGCAGAATAATGTAGTAGTTTAATTCCACAGCAGAGAAAGCTATGTAGTCTCTGTAAGGAGGTCTAGGGGAAAAATATCAGTATTGGTATCGGTTATCGGCCAAATAAGTTTTAACATATTGGCATATCAGCCAAAAATCCAATATTCAATTCAATTCAATTCAAAAATACTTTATTAATCCCAGAGGGAAACTATTTGTTGTAGTAACTCGTTATCCTCATTTCATTAAGAGATGCTATTGATACTGATGACTGTAGTCAGGAAGGATCTCTTGTAAAGATCCATCTCACAGTGGATCCTAAATTGTGCATCCCTAATAAATATGCTTTGAAATGTTTCAGTTGGAGTTGTTTTAAGTCGGTAGTAATACACAATAAGCTGTTTTTTCCTCAAACTGAAGCTGTTTAAAGAGCTATTATCTACAACATGTAAGATACTAACATACAGTACTAGTTTGTTACCGTTCCATAGAACCTCATTTTAGATCATCTGAGTGATCGCTCAAACTTATCTAGTCTATTAGGTTTGGAGAAGGAAGTATTTTGATCTGAGCCATAATATTATGACCACTGACTCGCTACAACAAGACTGCAGATATTAACAGAGAAAAAATGAATTCTGAATTAAATCAAAGTAGAAAGAATGTTCCTGTAAGGACACTCAAACAACTGCCAACAAAACTTTGCCTCATAAAACAAAAACATTACACATTTTCTTAAAGCACTTGAGAAAATTAACAAGTTTTACATTATTACTTTCTTATTGTGAATTGTGCTTATTAAGCATTCACACTATTGTGATCCTGTTTATATTTATTATTCAGTTTTTTTTAACTGTTCTATACGTTTTTCAGCATCTTTCTCATTCCACAATTTTTGTGCTATTTCACCAATTCATAAATCAAAACGTTCAGCTTGTTCAGGAGAAGGGTGCCATGACTTTTGGTATTGGTGCAACTTTAGTTTTTTTGAAATATTTAGCCTTTTCTGCCACTTTTTCCCTCATAGAAAATGAAGTGAGCTCATTTTACATCCTTCAAATCTTTAGATCTGTTTACAACCTTTTACTGCTCCTTTTACATTTTGTTCTGCTTCAGCTTCTTTCAGCTTCCTTATAAATTTAAACTTTTTTTCAGTTACATTCAGCTATTTTCAGCTGTTTTGTGCTCCTTTCAGATTCTTTCAGACAATTACAACATTTTTTTGCTTCTTCTAACTTCTTTCTGCTAATTTCATGCTCCTTTCAGCTCATTTCTGCAAGTTTTGTCTTTTTCTGTTATTTCAGCTACTATTTAGCTGTTTTTGCTAATTTGAGCTTTTCTAGCTAATTCCCCATTTTTGGCACTTATTTCAACTTTTTTCAGTCTAATTCAACAAAAATGTGCTCTCTCCACTTCCTTCTGGTAATTTAGGTTTCTTTCTGCTTTTTAAAAGCTACTTTTCAGCTGTTCTTTTCTAATTTCAGGCTTTTTTTTAAAAGGTAAGTTCCACTTTTTTGTGCTCATTTCTGCTTCTTTCAGCCTAGTTGGGCACAATCGTGCTCCCTCCACTTCCCAGGTAATCCAAGCATCTTTCTGCCTTTTCAACTACTTTTCAGCTAATTATTTTTATTTATTTATTTAGCTAATTTCAGCTTTTTTAAAGCTAACTCACCAATTATGGGGTCTCATTTCTGCTTATTTAAACCTAATTGAATAAAAATGTGTTCTTTCTGCTTTCTTCTGCTAACTTGGGCTTGCTCTTCCATTTCAGCTACATTTCAGCATGTTTTTACAGAGATGCAGCTGTTTTTTAGCAAGTTCTTCAGCGATAAGCATTCACACTGCATTTTCACAGGACATGCAATTACTCTAGTTTTTGATGCGTTTAGTTTTTGTATTTTAAACAAATCTCTCCTTGCAAGTCTTCCAACAATGTTGCTCTGAAGTAAACTGAAAGTTTCTTCTTTTCTTCTTGGGGAGACACCTAAAGGAGACAATTATTTGCACTAGTGGCTGTTCCTAAAACAGAAGCCATGTGTGGAAATAAATAATGGCTGCTGGAAGCAGAGCAGTTAAAAGTTTTTCAGCCTGTGAAAAGACTTCTGAGAGGAAAAAAGAGAGACATAGAAAGCTGGTAACCTTGGGAATTTGGCTCAGGCAAATTCTCTCTGGCAACTAAATGCATCACTGTGGTCCTCCCCAGGGGCAGCTTGAGAGCTAGCATGGGAGAAATGAGAGCAGAGGAGAAAAAGATCATATTAAGTCTGTACAATGTCATCCAACATCAACATCATTTCACTCTTCAGTGGCTTTTCAGACACGTGTAGAAAATGAAACAGACTTGACAGGACTGTGTTCCACCGTACTGAAACAGAAGCACCCTCTGCTTGTCAAAATACACAACTGATGGGTTGTTTTGATGCAGAACATTAATCTCCTCAGGTCTGACAGTGTCTAAATGTACATAACACTAATCTGCATCTGATTCAGGGATTTAAACAATGCGACTTATTCACTAAGTGGCCGAAATGGGCTTCCTTCGCAGGGTGGCCTTAGAGATGGGCTTAGGAGCTCCGTCATCTGGGGGGGGATGCTCAGAGTAGAGCCGCTGCTCCTCCGCATCGAAATGATCAGTTGAGGTGGTTCCGGTATCTGATTAGGATTAGAGGTTTAGAGGTTTCCCAGGCACATTCCCCTGGTAGGAGGCCCCGGGTAAGATCCAGAAGTAGACTGAGGGATTGTGCATCTTCTCTGGCCTGAGAACGCCTCGGGGTTCCCCAGAATGAGCTGGAAAAATGTTGCTGGGGAGAGGAATGCCTGGGTTTCTCTCCTGGACCTGTTGCCTCCACGACCCAATTACGGGTAAGCAGAAGTGGATGGATGGATGGATGGATGGATGGATGGATGGATGGATGGACTTATTCACTGTTGTTTTTGTTTTTGACTGATAAATGTGGAAAACAAACAACAAAAAATCTGAAAATCTGAATAAATTTTTAAAATAACACAATACAGAACACATCTATATTGTCTTCTATTAACAAATGTGCACAGTGTTACAAAAGCCCCAAAAAATGCTGCGACTCAAAGCTATGTATACACAAGCCATAACATTATGACCACTGCCAGGGAATGTGCGAAGCCATGTTCATCTTGTTCTACTTCACCTTTGCGTTCACATACATTTTATTGACACTTGTCACCTGCCATTTTGCAGACCGTTCATATCCTCCACATCATAGCAGCACTACCTTACATTTGCAGCCCTCAGCTGGATAGCAAAGGGATAAAGATTATTGGTTTACTAACAGCTTTATGAACCTGACAAAGAGGATCTCCAACACCTCAGGTACCAACATGATGGTGTTCTATCAAATTAATAGATAAGAGTCTTTAGGTAGCGCTGTGGAGGCAAGTCCAAACCACAGAGACCCAATCCTACATTCCTCAAAACAACCCCTGAGCCCTGCTTGCACAAAATAAAATGACAGCACACAGTGGATTAGTGGTTAGCACTATTGCCTGACAGCAAAAAGATCCTGGGTTCAACCTTTCATTTGGACCTGCAGTCTTTCTACGTAGTTTCATGTTCTCCTTGTCGTTTGCATGGGTTTCCTCCAGGTGCTCCAGTTTGCTCCCACAGTTCAAAAACATGCATGTTAGGCTGCCTTCAGGTCCAGGCCTCTCAGGTGGGATTTGTCTAGTTAAGTAAAGGTTAATAATGCTAAAAAGTAAATTAAACGTAAAACTCTGTTCCTACTCTTCTACTTCCAGAAAACCTTAGATAACATAAACCAGCAACTGTTTACACGGTCATATGTGTTCATCAGAGATATTTCAAACTCAGATATTATAGTCACAACCAAGACACAAACAGAACATCTAGAAAACATTTTCAGCCTTTAAAAAACATTCATAAACCCCTGTACTTTGTTCTTTATCTGAATTCTGAGAGGTTTTTCAATTTGTTGCCTCCTCCGTTAAAAAGAAAAAATAAACATTTTATACCTTTACCACTGTAATACCCCATTAGCATTGAAATAATTGTGATGAGGCATTGTTCTGCAGCTTGGCCTTTTTTAATGCTGCAGACCTCTTTCTTGTCTTTCCCAGAATACAGAAAATCATTTCAATAAACTCGCAGCAGTTTAAGAGTTGATTTTCATTCATTACACAACCCAAAACAGTCCAATTAGCTTATCCTTCACGACAGCAGAGGTGATCAGCAGCATTAGTATGGGTTGTTAACTGTTTTAATTAATGACTCAGGACAAGTCCATCCAACTGCATCACTAAGGGTCAATCTTAAATCAGCCGCACAAGATATTCGGAGAAAAAAAAGCCTTTGTCTATTTCTTGCTTAGTGTTGAAACTTGTGAATTTTACTTATTGGAGTTCCATGTTTCAGCCTCCTGTACCTCAACCATGTCTTTGACCATCTGACATCCTGTACTGCTAGAAACTACAAGCAGGCTGCAGTTACTGGATTTACTAGAACTAGACTTTATTGAGTTCCTGATAACTGCTAGTTTAAACCGTCTCTTGCCGTTTTCTTCACATGAAAACGGGAGATTTTAGAGAAGGCTGTGCAGAGAATTCAGTCCCAGTCGTTCATACACCTACTTCAAATTGCTGCACATTTCCTAGACCCTTCAACAGAATTACAACAAGGGGAAAATTTCCAGAAGAAGTTTGGAATAAAACCGGAGACAAACACAAATGCCTTTAGCTCATGGAAAATTTCAGCCAGTTCATGAGGGAAACAGCTTCTGACAGTTAAACCTCTGTACTGGTTCATTTTACCTCCGACGTTACCTGAAGCTAATAGTAATGAACACATTTTTGTCTTTGCATTGCGTTGTAGAACTACAAGGACTTTTTTTGGGCTTAACCCTAACAAGATTTTATGTCTTCACCGATACAGGTTAGGCTAACAATAACGTAATTATCTGATGGATGGCACTAATGCGATGACTGTAAATGTGTTGTGGACAGTCATAACATGATTACCCACCAAAAAGAGTGAAATCAAAATTAGATTAGGCAGATAAAAAAAAGCTAAAAGCTATAACTGGGGTGAGTCCCCCCACTAAAGAGAGCTTCCTTTTATTCTTCACTTAAGCAGCCCCCCTTTTTCTCTGTTGCTTCTTTGTCCATCCTGACGTCTACACCAAAGCCCGTCTTCCCACATTTTCCTGACCAGCTTCTTTCGCCTCTTTTTCTCTGTTTCCTCTCTCCTCCCTTCCTCCGTCAAAGCAGGCTTGTCCAGAGCACTGAGGTGCCTCTGTTCTGCAGCTCAGGGAAAAAGATGAGAACTCTCCCGCAGCACACTGCTGTGACTTTGCGCGCACGTCCGTGAGCACGCATGTATTTTGTCTGGGCGGTGTAGTTCTGGTGTTTTCTCACCTCCTAGTGTTACGTTGCCGTGTAGAAAACGTCCCTGGTAGATGAGCCTCAGGATGTTAGGGCTGCTGACCTGCTCCTCTTCGCCGTCTGACAGAAATGGAAAGAAACAGACAAAAGGAAAAGGTTGAGAAGAAACTCTTAAGCAGGAAGATGAAAGAAAAGTTCTGAATATTTTTCATTCTGGCTCATTTCACATTAGGCTTTCTCCTAAATCTTTGTTTTTTCTTAGTTTTTCAATTACCGTATTTTGTGGCCTATAAGTTGCATATTTTTGCGACTTATAGGCCGAAGCGATGCATTTATGGATTTTTCCCATATTATAAACCAATTTTTGGCTGAGATATGACCGTTTTCATTCATTCTGACTGAAAAAACAAATTAACACTACCATTTTCAGCCACTAAATGGCAGCAGAGTAGTAGTAGCTGTATGACATGCCGCTGTATCATGTAATAGGTAAATGTGGCTATAATTACAACTTCAAAAAAGTTCAAGATATAAACAACTAGACTTTATTTATTATACTTTATTGTTTTTGTCTTGAACTTTTTTGAATCTACCATGTCCTGGATGACTGAGAATCTTCACCAGCTATTAATGACACAATAGGCTTGCCATAGCCTTCCACCTTCGTTCTGCTCGCTGCTTGGAGCAAGTTAAACCAGCTGCACCACTCCAGCGAAATGAAGCTAATTTGACCATTAAAGTGCATTTATTATGTAAAAGTTCAACTGAGACACACCTTTGCTATAATTTCGAGCAAACAAATAATTGTTTTAGGTGCTTTTCTTGTTAAATTTCGAAGAAACAAGCAGCGTTCCTCTTTTTATTTTTTCCTCTCTCTGCGCGTTCCCAGAGCACCGAGGCAGCGAATGCAGCTGATTTGACCGTTGAAGTGCATTTATGAAGCAAACGTTAGACTGAGACACACATTTACTATAATTCTGAGCAAACAAATAATTGTTTTTAAGTGTTAATCTTGTTAAATTCTAGTTAAAGTCCTCCTGTGCACGCTCCCGCGGCCGCCATGTGGCAGCCCATCGATTTTTGGCACAACACCGGCCCACATTTCCGGATTCGGCCCATATTTCCGGGTTGTCAGCGGTGACACGTAACAAATGCGACGCGTCAGCAGTAATGCATAACAGATGCGACGTATACGGCGAAGCGACATATTTATGAATTTTTCCACTTTTTTAGATGTATTTGGACTGATGCGACTTATAGGGCGGAGCAACGGGTAGAGCGGAAAATACGGTATTTCTCTTCCCCACCCCCACCCCCAACACATAAATGTCATCCCATAATCTGGGAACATACGATATAAAGTGTGCTGGCTAATGCATTAAATTTAGGAACCGTTCACATCTTTGAAATTGAACTGACTACAAAACCTACAATAGTTGAACATCACCACCTTTTGTTCCCGGACTCTAAATGAGGTTTTCAGGAGTCTGAGAACAAAGTGACAATAACGGAGTTCAGCACAACTAAAGTGATGAAAATTTGTTCAATTTAAAATACTATTTCACCATTATGAAACAAAGTGGGCCCCCGCATGGAAATAAAACCAAACCTCAGACCCCACTGAAGATTATGTGGTAGATTTACCGGTAGGATGTTTTTGTATTTTTATATAAAGAATAGACTTTTTGGGCTTTGTCATATATACAGACGGACTTGAGAAATAGTGTTAGCAAAATAAATGCATAAGATGTGGACTGGGACAAAAAGTGAAAGGCATTAAATAGGAAAAAAAAGGAGAAAACTGTGAGGCAGCAGTCTGGCCACCAGATGTTTGCCTCCAGTTAAGTCGAGGGTGTTGTTACGGAGTTCCTGCTCTGGTTCTCATGAAGCTTAGATCTGTTGTCTGGGAGGAACGCAGGGTGGGTCCAAAACTGACAGGGCTGAACAGAAAACTCCTGTCGTCGAGGAAAATCCAACCTCACTTGTGTAATTTGCATTTTTCTCTTTGACCGTGAACTTCACTGGAACTGCACCAGATTCACACACCCTTAGGAAAACTTTATAGTTGTTTAAGTTTTGAAGATCAAGAGTATCAGATAGGAATTATTCTCTGGTGGTTGTATTGCTCAGATCCCACATTCCTTTATGCAATGATAATCAGGCGTGTGCACAGGTTGCCCAACTCCAAAGATCTAAGCTTTTCTACACTGCTTCACAAAGCTTCATATGGAAGCAGATCGCGGTTATTCAAATTACCTGCTTCATTGCAAAGTACCACAGAAAAACTGCAGCTTCAAAAGCTTAAAAATGTAGCGAATGTGGCATACAAATGAGTGTTACAGACTCATCGTTACAAATGTGCAAACTTAAAAGCTAATAAATAACACTTTCAGATAACAGTTGGATACAGTCAGTGGAGAATGGGAACTTCACCATTAAACACTTGAGAATACGTCAAGGATTATTACAGTAATTACATGAGAACTGTTAAAAGCATTATGTAATGGCCCAACAAACTAAAGTGACTGGTTTCTGTGCACTTTACTGAACTCAGAGCGCGAACGGTTTTAAAATATGTGGAATAGGTCATGAGTTTTCTATTGTGTACAGTCAGTCTATTGCTTTAGTTTTTTTTGTTACTTGGGGTAAAAAACAACAAAAAAAAACAACAAAAAAAAACAGCCTGCTGCAGCTAAAAGCAGCGTTATGACAGAGCAGGAAATGTGCAGACAGCTTAATTACAAACTATAAAGCTCTATCATACAATCTGAATATTAAGGATTATTTTTGTAATCAAATAAAAGCTAGACAGAAATAACAGATGTTTTAATGCAACACTATAGTTGTGTCACAGATTTAGGTAATCCAAGATGTGTGAAAATCGATTTTAATCCTACAGCTCTCATTTCTTTAAAATCTGCCTCTAAGCAACAGATTTTCTTATAAAGTCTGTGGCTGGCAGCACGACAGCTCAGTGGTTATCACTGTTGCCTCACAGCAAGAAGATCCTGGGTTCAATCCCCGGTTTGGACCTGGAGTCTGTCTGCATGGAGTTGGCATGTTCTCCTCGTGTTTGTGTGGCTTTTCCCTGGGTGCTCCAGTTTGCTCCCATAGATAAATAAAAAAATATATTTATTTTTAATGAAGTGGGCTGGATTTTTTTTTTTTTGGGGGGGGGGGGGGGGGGGGGGGGGGGTTCTGGGTTTGGGTTCTGTTTATTGCATTTATGATTCAATGCAATAAAATAAACAACTTTAAAAGGTAACAGATCATTGTAAAACTTGGTTTATTTACATCATGACTTGAATCGCTGGATGTCCGGTCCCCAAGCTGTTGGCTTTCAGAAACCGTGGTCCACTGAGCAGTTTTGTTGAATAGTCCTGGTCTAAAACCGTGCTGCCTTCAGGCCAGGGCTTCCTTGGAAAACAGATCTGTGTTCTCAATGGATTTGACTGGTTAAATAAAGATGAATAAAATCCATTCATCATCCAACATCTTTAACCACTTCTTCCTTTCTGGTTCACGGAGGTCACTGGTGCCAATGTTCATCACTGTGCAACAGGCGGGTGTTGATAAAATAATATAAATAAATATTAAATTGAACAAGTTTGTGTCCAAAACTTTTTCTTGAACTTTGGCTTCTTTTTTGGTGATTCAATTCCTCAGGTTTTAGAGGATTTTTGCTTCTTTATTAAGCCACTTAAAACTGAACTCTGAATTATTTAGGCATAAAACGGCGCTGAAGAGACACCCTTAAGAAACTACTTTATAATGACTTGTGTTGTAAAGGCTTTGACTACTAGAAGCTTGATGCAATGACATAATTTGTAAATGACTCTTTACTTTGAAAAAATGCTGAAAATATTACAATTTTCAGACAAAACTATTTGCATTTCTGCATCGGTTATGACATTTGTTAGCATGGTAAGCAATATTCCCTTAAAATTAAGACAACCAGACAAGTGTAGATGCATAATTATTTAGTTCATCTACTGTATGAGCCAGATATTCAGCAAATATATCTTTCTCTTCACCTCAGGATTCAAAATCCTTCTCTGTGTCTTGGCCTTTTTTGTAGTGTCAAGATAAATGGAAACAAATTGTCTCTTTGTGACTGTATTTAAAACAAATTATTGACTAAGTTTGCTGTAGTTTCTTTAACCGAGTTGCATTTACATAACTGAATGATTCATATAGGTGAATATACAGTAGGTGCACTGAAAGCACTGGAAAGTAGCGGCCAAGACCACTTGAGAAATTATGAGAATATTTGGTCCGTTTGAAACAGAAGTATGGAGCACCTATGTAAGGCACAAAACTGTTCTGTAAAATATGGAGATCCAATCAAATGTACGACTCCAGGTCGATCCTATTTGGAGGTGAAGGACTTTGGCATTACTTTCAAACCTACTCTGCAGCAGCAGAGCTGTGAGACTTCACCATCTACCACCACTCTCTGCCATAATCCAGAGCTACTCACCCAGTGGCCAGGTGTCATAGACATGTTTGGCGATGTCTGCTGCCGAGTCGTTGGGAGAGAAGAGGAACTCTTTCGTCTTTCCACTGACTAAAATAAGTCGTAGGTTTATCTGCAAAGCACCACATAAGACAAAGAACACATAAGTACTGTGTGTGGAAAATGGTAAGCAAAGTTATTTTATAAGAAACAGGAGAAAAGATACAAAGTTCCTATGGAGCATCCAGTTCAACCATCTGTCGCTCCAACTTAGTTTTCTCTCAACTGGATTTATTTTGCCTCTGGATTCTAGTTTTGTGCCTCACTGGCAGCTTGCCAGGCTCTCTTCTTTAAATATAAGCAGAACCGTGGGCTTACACCTTTTTTTAATTCATTTTATTATTTTTTTTAACCTAAATTACTGTTTAATCATACGGCCGTAAGGCAAAACTTTAAATTCAAATATACACACACACAAAAAAAACAAAGAAGACAACTTCTCTGGTTACAAAGCACACATTGTCCACCTACATCCTGGTGTTTCTGTGGATGATATGTTGACAACCACCACCTACATAAACAACTTTGCAGACCCCTCACGTCTTCCACATATGGCAACGGCACACCCACACGTTTGCAGCCCCACTTTAGCAAGAGAGCAATAAAATCATGGGAGTAAAACTGCTTAGAGTCAAAGAGCACGACGGAAAGTCTGGGGTGTTCGCCCAGCCTAAAGACTGCCTAGAAACCAAACGGCTGGGATGTTTTGTCAACTGAAGCAATTCTAATCCACATGAACCCCTAACTGAAAACAAACGGGGTCCAACATCCCAGTCCCAGCTGCTTCAGGACTCTCTCACATGTTTTCTGTTCATGTCCTGGCCGGTCCGAGCTGTTTTTGTAGCAAGATCTTAGGAGTGGTCATAATGTCATGGCTTATCGATATATGCAAAAGATCATGTTTTCCGAGTGAGCAGCATCAATGCTCTCTCAGTTAGCTGCAAACAAGATGCAAAATATACTTTTTTTTTTTTTTTAACTCGCATTGAATTTAAAACTAGGATTTGGTATTTTATTTTATGCATTTTTAGGGTCGTTTCCTGAGCTGGTGTAAGGTATTTAAACAAGTGCACAGGCATTAGTCAGACTCTAAAAAAAAAGAGAGGGACAAAGAGCACCTCTGCAGCATCAAAACAACCCAACTCATGTCTCACTGCCCACAAACAAAGATTTAGTTCATGTGGAGTTCTGAAGGTTGTTGCAACGTGAACTCTGCCACAAATAACTTATTCTAGCAGGCAGTGGTGACAAAAAGTCTCATAAAAATGACTAATAACGTGACATTTGTGTTCCCATGGGGCAAGTTACACTGAAAGGTCAGAGGTCAGACTCATATACAGAGAGGCCCCTTGAAAATGGGTGAAGTGGGAGTTTTGAAAGGACACCAGAATCAGTTTTTTGCAGTTGATAAGATTTTGAGAAAAGGAAATTATTTTAAAAAAAAAGAGAATCTGCACAGCAATTAAGCTGCCTTGTATCAAGAAGCAGATCTAAGTTCCTGTGTTATCTGGCAGGATTTGCGTTTTAGTCAAAGTGTCCTTACGAGCTGCAGCAGCAAGCCGTGGTGTGCCTCTGCTTGCTGTATTTGCGTGGCTGGCCTGGGGGTGCACACATGACACATGGCAAAACCACGTGCGTCACTGTTGCTAGTGTGTCTCGGCTGCTCCCCCCCCCCCCCCCC